CAGATCTACCTGTCGTTAGCCCAGTTACGCATTGTTTACAGAACTCACAGCGGCTATTGTCTTTCAAGAGAGAGCGACTCTAGTGAACACTGTGAGGACACGCAATTTTTTATTCGAATGATCTCTGCTTACTCTAGACACTTGCGAGCGTTATTCAGTTGTGCTCAAGTAGAGTTTCAATATTTTTTTTTTACGTCTGTATTCTATTGCTTCATATCTCTGTGTCTTCACGTAATCACTAAACGGTTTTACCATTAGAAAATGCATTAAATTTTTTCTATTTGCTTAATAAATCTGACAAGCAAAGCACGCACTTGTGATAGCACCTGAATCTTTCTCGTCGTTTCCTGACCAAAGTAACTAAACGAAAATTGATGTTCAGTCCATTAGTTGCGATCATCGATGCCATCATCAGCTAGGGACTGAAATCACAGTAACAAATCTATTATCTCAAAATGAGACTCAGCTGTTTCGTTCCGTGCTTGTCCGAGATACAAGTGCGCCTTTGACGGACAATAAATCCGTCAAAGCCTTCGCTAGAGCTATGCCTCGATTGTCTATTGGGTGGCATCCCTGAAGCGAACTTTCGGAATTCCATCATTATCATATTGGGTCTCTCCTTTAACGTTACAGCAGGTTTCGGATCTATACTTTTTGGTGATTAGTACATTTAAACTAGCTAGAGGGTTTGCCTGTATACGTTTACTTTAATCCCCATCATAGACACGCCTTCATCCTTGGGAAAGTCAAAAATGTTTGGCATTGTTTTTTTACAACACATAGAATAATGCTTAACGGTAATAGTAAGCCATTGTCCGTATAGCATACGGGTACGTCTTTCTAAACCCCTGGAAAAGCAACTCCCCCGTTTTAGGCGTAATCTAGGAATATTAGCCTCATAGACTTTTTTTCTAAGTCGAAAGCTATTTTGATGCCTCCAGCCAGAATTTCAATGCGCCCTGAAGTTAGATATTTCACAATCTTACTATAGTCTAGCCCGTAATGTGCACTTCGAGCTCACTTGTGTCAGCGAATTTTAGCTTCTATTTGTGCTCTTTTCGATGTATTGATTCAGGCATTAGCGCCTATTCTACCAATTATGTGAAACCCTATGATTATTTGTTGCCGCTTTTACTAACTGTCATCATTTCAACACAAAGCTTGTCCAATCTTCAATAGAGGTTCTTTGATCTTCTTTTGTGCTTGCTGAACCTTCACATATTTCTGTTGGTACGGACGATACCACTTCGCATGATCACATCAAATCGTTCATCGTACTTGTCCCGTCTAGTATTTTTCTCTGGCGTTTGTTTCCCATCACGTGTAGATTGTCGATATCTATGACGTTTTCATTGTCTGTGTGAATGACATGATTGCTTGGGACAAACCGGCATCGTATGTTTTCATTCGCTGCATGTTCTACTATGAAGCGGAGGAGCCTGATGTCTTTCCATAGCGATCCAGTTTTGCCTCTGGCGGAGACTTTTCTTGTTTTTGGACAGTTTGTTGTCTAAGATGACACAAACGTCTCATATCCGTCAGTATTTCTCGATTCTGTTTACTAGTCTGGGCATCGTCAGTACCAGACTTCATCGTGCTTTATTTACTGAGCCATAATAGAGCTAGACGTTTGTCCAACAATGGGTAAATCTGAATATGACTATGCACTTGTCTGAATTTAAGACAGCTTTTTAGACTGTGAATGCCCGTGACATTGGCGCTGAACAAAAATAGAAAACTTGATTATGTAGTTACTTTAGACTACGTTATAAAACCTCAAGGAAGATTAATTTTAATATACATTTAGAACGAATGTGTACCACGTATTTTTATGTCATATGAGCTGAGGCATAGTGCATAACAAATTACAATTATCGCTGACACGATGCAGGTTTTAACGTATATTAAAAAAAAAACGCCGCATTACGTATGTTTAAAAAAAAAAAAGCCATATTACGATTTCTCACACGCGCTAGTGTATCGTTTATCACTAAGAACGCATTCTGGATTTAGCTTTAATTAAAACTTCGTTTACTCATCGTTGTTGACTGCTTATTCAAACTTTTTTCAGAGAGAAGAATCAAACGATTCTTAATTTCATGCGAGACATCTAACGACCTTAAGCAACTAAAATTGGCGCATGTAATCCACACAACTCTGTCATTTTAGCTAAAGATAGTATCTTTTTTTTTAATAAATGAAGGACGAGGTATTCAACCTAAAAGCCGTGTATGTACTATACGTAGACGATGTAAACATGAGGGGGGGGGACAGGGCAACTGTACATCCCCATGATGAGGCCACGCAAGAACGTGACCCCATTTGAAAGCATCATCAATACCAACCAAGTGATGACGATCAAAGTAGACCCATTGGAAAATTACCTCCACCTCTCTCTCTAGTGATAGGGTAGTCTCTGTCTGATGACATAAACATTGTGTTCTACACCTGTTGACAAACAAAACATGTTTGTTTATTCACATAAATTTCTGGCAATCTATATATATATATGTATATATATATATATATATATATATATATATATATATATATATATATATATATACATTACCGTCAATTTGGCCTCCCTTCACGATTTTTCGATTGGAATTCTACATAGACCAGCCGCAATATTTAGGAAGGAAATACATACGATCAGGCTCTAACTGTTGCAAAACCTAAAAGGTGCAATAACCAGTAAGGTTTATCTGCATTCACTATATTAGTGTGAACTCTACCTATGGCCCTTGAAGCCGCCCTTCACGCTTCTAGGCTCTACACAAGATAAGCTATCAGTTTTCGGACGAAGATGCATCATTACAAATAAAAATTTCGGAGGATTTGAAGATGAAGCTCGCAAATATAAATCTTTCAAATATGAATAGATCTTCACTGCGGTAATTTTGTTTGTCATAAGATTCTAGCGATGCATACGTAGACTTATGAAATTTATCCGATCCTATAATAGTTTGAAGAAACTATAAACAAATGATGGTAGTAGCTAGTCAATAAGTATGCTTAAGGTGGAAATGGAATAGCAACTCATCTGGCCAACAATCGAAATAAATAACGGGCAAAGTTTCGCAGAGCATATTTTGGAACGAGATTTCCAACTTCAGATTGCACTTTAGTTTTACTACTAAATTAAGTTGAAAAACTTCTCGTATAACACGGCATAGGTGTAATTATTCAAAAATTGAAAAGGACAATCTTACTTGCGAGCATTTGCCCCCTGCTGTAATGCAGAATAATTAATTCTAGATTCGATTTACTTGCAAGATACGCGGGCAGTTCATGCGCGTAAACTTTAGTCTACGTTGACAATGGTGAACTACTGTATAGGGGTTAAATGGGATACATTTTGTCGGATTGTTTGTGAGCCATCGAATTTAGTCACACACATAGGTTTATCGGATCATATCGATAGTTAGAAAAACCCCGCTCAAAATGGATGCTTCGCATTACTAGCACCACAGGTGCGGCTTGTGACAACTCTGAGAAAGTTTCCAGAAGGCAAAATGGAATATCTATAATAGCGATTAGATCTGGAATATGAGAGTTTCATCAAAATTAGCTGCAGCTTTTAAAAGGGAAGGACTCCCTAAAAAATTCATACAAAAAGATCGTTTTAATCATGATTGCTATTCCCCGCAAATCTAAAAAGGGCATTTTTCAAGAGTGCCTAGTGAGCCTAGAATCAAAGTGTATTTGAATAGGTGTCTTTATTTAAGTGCAGCTTATAAACAAGCAACATCAGTTGTGTCGCAATTAACCTCAACCAATATTTCATCACTTAAGTCATGCTATATTTTTTATATTTTTTGAATAATAAACTGTAGTTTACAAAATAGCTTTTATTTTAAGATCAAAATTTGTCTAGAAATATTTGATGTTGTGTCCCCAGGCGTTCAAATAGTGTTTTTTCTGTGGCTGTACAGGAAGTCGTCCTGGCCTCTGCCCTCACGTAGGTAAAATTACCTATCTGCGGGACAAAATCACTACTTGACTTTACGAGGGCTTGGTAATCTTCGACTGCATCGTATATATAACTACTTACTAAATTCATTCAAGCATATAATTGGGGATGCTTCCCGCGAGAAAAATAGATCCCCCCAATACTAATCAGGTTTGTCGCAAAAACAACTGTTAGGGAATATAAACGGGGAAAATTGCTAAAACTTGAGAAAATTAACTTTGAAAATAGCAGCGGACTCGAATGAGAAGGGCACAAAAGCAGAAGGACGAATCAAGTTTACAGTCTTAAGTAAATGCTAAAAGCTATTAATCAGAAACTATTAACCCAAAGTGGGGGCAGCCTCATGTCAGGTATCATCACTCGTCACGTAGAGGTGCATCACTGACACGCATAGAATAATTCTGTACCTGAAAAACTTCAGGATAGCTTCTACAGCTGGCCCGTATCCTTTCACTAACCATAGCGTAGGACTCAATTGATACAAGTACTCTAGAAAATTTCTAGTACATGTACTGTTGCGTGTGATTTTGCGCGTACGTTAGGATAGCTCTATCGGATATCTATAGGACAACTCTATCTCTCAACGCGTCAAAATACTAAACTAAAAATCGCCCGCTCGACGATCTGCGGTAAGTTTATTGGTACCATGTCACATTTCCGACATTAAACGGATCATCATTGCTACTAATACACTTTGTCCGTATAGACTAAAATGAAAACGAAGCTGATGACATCGCCCGCGCTGTCATTCAGGCAAGCCTATATATAGGCATTTCGAAAATAGGAGACCTAAAGTCAATTTAATAACATTTCGCTTGAGCATCCGCTAGCCGCTTTAACTTTGACTGTTTTTTTGCCTAGTGAATACTTACACAGAGGTATTACGCTAGAAAGAGTAAACTTCGCACGCTGTCTTGGTTGAGCACCCCGTCGTTGACATCTATACACATAATAGCATTATTATATGTTTAGCTTTTCGCAAATTTTGCGTATCTCATTAGTAATGTCATAACAATTTTTTCAGACAACAGCATCAGACACTACGTTGCATGTACAAGCTTACAAGATCCGTGATGGTGATACCTGGATTAACGGCAAAAGTAAGCAGATTAGAACGACAGGCGTCTTACAAAAACACGTTTGACGTCTTCGAGCTAGGCAAGATAAAAACAAGCACCATTGATAAAAACTGAACAAACAAAGCTTTTCATTTTTTACTCTTATAATCTTTTTCTTACTGTTTGCTACTGATGTCACTTTCCAAACCTCATAGGAGATAGATGAAAAAGGAATACCCCCTTGCCCTCTGTCAATACATGGAAAACGAGAAAATTGATGACGATCCTCGTTGGTCTATGGAAATAGAGGAAGTTAATTAAACTTAAGTGTCTACGTATCTTTTCCAGATCATTACCTATTAGCAGGCCTGTAAGTGTCAAATATATATGGTAAATTAAAATCTTTTTAAGCTACCGTCAAGGCAATTCGAGCTGGAACCAATCGTAAATCATTTATAAATAACAATAATAATGCAAACGAATACTAGATCAGAGAATATTTTGGTAATTAGTACTGACCGTTTTTGTTTTGCATGCATCTGACTTCCTTCATAAGAAACGTCTTTCCCTATAGCCTTATCAGGTTGAGTGTAAGGCCCAGATTTATCTCTATCATGTTTAAAAAACAAAGCTAAACTTCGGCTGCCTGTTTCCAGATGGAGACCCATTGAAGCCGGGTACATCAGGAACACGTCAGAGGTCAACAGGCTAGTGCCGAGCGTTAACAGATTTGGCCAACAACAACAACAACAATTCGCGTATTGTTATAGGAGATAAGCCTTGCAAGACCTATGCCATATAATCCCATAGCAAATTGAATTACAGCTCAGGCAATTGTGAGAACAAGAGCTTTCACAGGAAATAAACCAAATACCAGTTGAAAAATCTGCAAGTCAAGCCTCTAGATCAAAGTCAAGGTGTCTTTTGGTGTATCTTTTGAGTCTTGGGATTTGCAGTGCTTCTGAAGAATATTCTTCCTACAAAAAATGCTGACCAAAGCAAGTCAAATGAGTTATTCTGAGAAATTGTTTGTTATGTAAATAATTATAGGCATGCTTACCTTTTACACTTATCGGCGCATGAACTAGTTAAGGTTCCGAATCGCATGTGGATATATTTTGTTTCGTAGTGGGAGCCAGCTGTCTGGAAAACGCTTAAAATTTACATCCCCATAAATGCACGATAACGTGAGAGAATACGTATGAGTCAAGCCAGAATCTTTTGGTTTAGACAAGCAATATAATAGTCATCATCCTAACGTCAATATGAAGAGATCGCTGTGGGGATGTTTTCGAACGCTTCAATGAAAATAACGAAGCTTCATAAGCTGTCTTTGACTGACTGCTACATAAAGGATCGACGCTCATCCAAAGGTGATTTATGCGTGGGGTTAGCTTACCTTATCGACCGTGCTCCAATATTACAGACGTACTTAAACTAACCAGCTTTAGTTACAACGGAAGATGCGAAACGAAGGGCTATTTGCTAGGAATTGCAACTCCGGGTACTCCGGCGTGTGATGTATACGTGAATATGTATAGAGAAAGGGGATATGAAAAATTAATGTTTCCCTACTCGTAGACAGGTTGTATTAGAAATAACAAAAATCTCAATTTGAATTAGATTTTCAATTAACTACCCATGCAATTTTTAAATGTGTCATTTTTAAGAGCTGGTGCTATTATTTACAGATTTAATAATCGGTAAGATATTCGTAATGTTATTTCAGTAAAATTTCCTTCTAGTGTATAGTGAGAGATATTGCTGCTGATTAGCTACGACCTTTTTCCAAAACCCTGTATAAAAAACTTGTAGAAAAAAATACACCCGCAAAAATTTGCTTTACTCTTAAGACTACAACAAAGCAAATAAAGCATTTTGCATTTCTGTGTGCCCTTATCACTCCCACGTTGTAGGGGCAATCATATTCACGCGTGTTTAGCATGATTTAGCCTATCGGACCTTGGCACTTGGCATTTGCATCGTAATTGTCTGGATGACGGAGTTAAGTTGAAAATATAACCATGTTACCGTTACTAGGTATAGCGGGTTTTTACCAAATTTACGGCATATTGATATATATAATTGACAATCCATTTATCAAGTCCAATAAAATCTACACGTGCAAACCTCGTCTGGTTCGTTATGTTATTTTGACCTGCACGGGTCAGATGGTAGGGTCCGACAAGTACTACTCGCGGGAGGTAGGTTACGCCCTAGAAAGCCCACCTCCTACAGAACATACGTTACACCAATAGTACGTATTGATGTTTTATAAAACGCCCTCTTGCATATCATTTTACATCATTGACATTTACACAGTGACTTTTTTAGAGATACAGGAGAAGCAGTAGCGAGCCTGATTGGGCAATAGGATAAATCGTACTTTTCGGGCCATGAGTTGATCTGTAATAGTTCTGAACCGAAAAAAATGTACTCAGAAATATCGATTAATAAGTACTTAAGAGATCTCGGGGGTCCCTAGCTATATCCAAGAGGAGGAAGCGGGTAAACATAAGTTTACCTTCGGCGTCTCAGAATATATGTTTCTCGTTGACAAAAATGAGCTTATAGTTGAAGCAGATGTTTGTGAACTTTCTGCCTAAATGTAAATCTATCTCTAAGATCTAGTCAAAAATGTATTGTAGTCTTACGTTTTAATAAACTGGGTTTCGTCCCATTCCAGCATAGGTTCACCTGTATGTACGCGTACTTATCGTTTAATACCTAATGACGGGTGATTTGTCTTTAGTTCTTGAAACATCTACGATCGCATTTAGGGGGTCGTTATCTAGCCGTTTTGGTGACAGCAGTGACGAGTGTGAGTTCGCAGTGCAAACAGTAGTACAATACTTAGAAGTATGCTGACTGCTGAAGAAGTCTCAACTGGTTCGGAGGTCTTCGAACCGCGGACCGTGAACAGCACATCCATGAACGGCATTGTAGTAGTACAGGTCGACGAGCATCTACGCTGGGAGGGCATGTTATACACACTCTGTACAACACTATCATTCATCATGTTTATTTTGATAACCAGTTTTGCATTCCTCGAGGCTAACCGATCGCTGCTTGATTCGTCGGAATGTATTCGAGTTGTCAACGTTCAACCATCTCTCAAAAACGCTGGCACGATGGAAAAGATCACTACCGCCTCAGTATCTGCCGCAAAAGTTGGAGATGTTCCTTCATTTGCTGGAAGGCGACGCAATTGCGGAAAAGGGTATTCTATTCATTTTTTTCGAAACACTCCCTATGAAGTTGTCTCCCACTATTTAACACATCTCAAATTTTTCGACCACGCTTATCGAGTCAGTCTTTTTTTTCTTTTTTTTTTTTTTTTTTCATAACTAAGTTAGTGACATTTTGATTTCAGTTTAGAGGTTTCAAGAATAATATTATCAATGATAAGCTTCATGCATTGGATAAATCGTCAGTCATTATTGCATTCAGTACGTCTGCTAGAAACTATACGTGTTACGCCATACCTGCGTAGTTTTCACAGTACGAAAGTGACTCAGCCCAAATTAAATCCGGAATTATCGCAAAGTAGAAAGCCGTGCCAAAATCTAGAAGTCACACCAGTAAGGAAAAAGCCATTGGGTAAGGTAGGTGAGACAACAATAAAGGATAAGCAACAAATTCCAAGACGTTTTCCTTCACCAACTAAAGGCTTGCGTATCTCAATATTATTGTTGAAAACAAATGTTTCCCTTAAAGACGCTCGAAACCTATTCCTTTGATCTCCCGTGTAGTACTTTAGCAGTTGCGTAAAATTTTTCTTTAAAGTACTACAGGAAGGCAACCTGCGCTTGTAAAAAAAACAGTACTAAATTCTCGAGCTTGTGTTAAATTTTTTTTAACCAAAGATTTCCAGATTCACTAGGCTTTGTCATATGGGAATAGCCTTTTCTGGCACTGAATGGGGTCGACCCAAGAGGTAATTACTTTCACCTATGACTAGTTAGTGCGACCTGTGTTAGCAATGTACGTGCTTATTGCGATGTTAGCACTCGATAAACTACAATCTGTATTGTTGTAATAGGTCGTTTTTCTAATTGACTATCAGGCCACTGTCAGGCAGCACTTATTGCATGACTACACAGGGATGCTTAAGCCTCTAATATTAGTTTTCTTCAATGCGAAAAACAAGTTAGATCAGCTCATACAGAAGGTCCCGAAAAAATAAAAAGGCAAGGAGTTCATTATTCTTATGGGTGCTTTGTCCAAAACAGAAGTAGAACTACTACCAGACGATGAAGTTATTGTGGATAAGAAGTTGTGGGTTTGGTTAGTGTAAATGGATTAGCACGTTGGATCCACACGTGCCATAATTACAGACTTGATATGATATTCTACTGCTCACGAAATTAATTACTGCAACAGAAAGATCTGCTAAATAGGGGTATATATATATATATATAGGGTAAATATGTGTCATAGGGGTCCAGATGCCCTAGGTTGTGCTGCTCCAGTTAGCTGTCTATATTAGGGCGAGAAATTATTTAGCCCTCAAGCGAGCTCGGCAGATGCATCCTCAAATTGCCCATGTAAGCACGAACAATGTGATTTTGATAAGTTGATTGTTCGATCAAACTTTTCAGTGTATAAACTTCAGGAACATCGCTACGCTCTTTGTCTAGTTCAAGATTCAGTGTTAAATATCTAATAAAAAGGAAAATAAGTATTATAATGCATTTTTTCCTCAGAGGAAGCAAGGCGCCGCTGGTAACAGTAAAACCTCATACCCCTTTAGGCGCCATCGTGATGACCGAGAGTCCGCCGTAAGAGTCATGGAGTCCAGTACGCAGCCCACAGACACTATACGACTGCGCGCGCGTTGTTACAATGAGAGATTATGTAGCCTATCGAGTTGGCGAACGACTCTGACCGAGTACAAACGAAAAAGTTTATCGCTTCAATCGAAATTCTGTAAGCATTCAACTTCGTTAAGTAACGATCTCGAAAATTCGCGTCTCAGTGAAAGCTGTGTTTATTTCGAAACGCAAAATATTGTTTGTGGCACACCCACCATAGAAAGCACCTGTTCAAGCCACTCGGACGATTCTTGGAGAGAGTTAGGTGAACTTATTGATCAGGCAGTCAATAGGAGACAGTGGTCTTCAGCACTGTGTGCCTGCTGTGCTAGTCATCACACGGAGTCGTCCCGATCTTTTGCATCGTTCCAGTCACAAACGGACGATACTAGATTTACAAGCTCGACACAAGCAGGATTTCGACAGATAGAAATGCCCCCGCCATCGAACGTCCTTGGCACTTTGCTGAGCTGGAACGACATCTGGTCCGAGGCCCAGAATGACGCTTTACCCAACTCGGTCTCCAGCGCTAAAACTGGCACGTTTTTTTCTAGTGCAAAAACGAGTACTGCGTTTACACCAGCGGACAATGCATCATCGCAGCTTTATATTAATGACTGCTCGACAACAGCGACTAGCCGCATCATATGGCCACTTCATAAAGCGGGAAAAAATCATGAAATTACATCGAGCCGCAATTTATCCCAAACAAACGTTCCTTTGAGAATATCCTCAACACAAACGCCGATTGGAAATCTGAGGAACAGACGAATTTTTGATGGTGTCGTCCCATCCGTAAGTAATTCTTTGACCAGCGAAGCAGCCGGTCGATGATGATCAAATGAATACCAATGCTATCACCTGTTAGATTCAATCGGTTCTTTCCTTTTATCACAGTTATTATATTTCTAATTTGAAGTAACTCAACGAAATCTTGGGCGTCATCTCTTCAACAGTTTAAGCCATGCTCATGTATTAGTATGTAAATATCGAAAAATTAAAACGAAAATGTTATCAGTTGTTTAACGAGGTAGCCCTGAGACGCTTAGTAGATTTATGTATAGTTTATCGTGTGAGTGACATGTTTAATGTACCAAACCGCTGTCACGTTTTGTAGAAAAAAAAAAAGCTTGACTTTTCATGTAAACTCTCGTGTTGTACAACTGGAATCCGTATTTTGTGTGTTTTACACAAGTTTTAGTAAAGAGGTAACCTGCTAAAATTTGTTTTGTTTTAAAGGATTTTGCACACATTTTCAGCAATCAAAGGCTATTATACTGGACGTAAATTTATATAAAAAAGAAAAAATGGCAAATCTCTTTTTTCGCTATAACTATTATAACTAACCAATATGTACCCGAAACATTTTCACAGCGGCCACTCTTCTCTCTATTTTTATGGTCTAGATTTGGAGCCCGACATGGCAACCTTCTTCTGGTGACCCCGAATTTACTATGACTTCTCCACTAATGTTACACTCCAATACGGAATATCAAAGCAATGAAAGACCTTTTTCAACATTTTTAGGGCTTTTCAAGAGAAGATGATGGCGCCTGAATGAATTTACCCTTTCGTCAAAATCGAGGTATGGTTCGTATATTGGCTAAAATAACGGCATAACTCTAAAGTAAATGCCAACAACTGAATTTGATCTCTACTCATTTGACAACACCAACAGTAATGTAACACGCTGTTTTTATCTATTCGTTTGTTACAGAGCGAAGTTATGTTTGGCCACCAGACGGATGCGCTCCCATATCACCCGTGCCGGAGAGCCCTGATCCCACACTAGAGCAATCAGTACAGATCGAAACGCAGTTGACAAAGATAACTGTTTTTGTTCGATAAAGTTATCGTATAAAATGCTCATAGTTTACTGCTTATGCACCTAAAGTTGGTTTTATACTACGGCTTATAGTTGTGATCTCTGTGTCCACGATAGATTTACTATCTCTGGTCAAAGCAATACTTGGTAGACTTGAGGTAAACATTTTATGTGCAAGAATCGCAGTAACAAATTAACAAAACACAGCAAATTGAATGCGAACCAATCTAGCTACATGAAATTTCAGTCGAACGATTGAACTCAATTACGAAACCCTTTTGCTTCTAAAAGGACAAAAATCCTTTTTCATTTCTAAGCAATTTGATCAAGAAGACGCCCTTTAGCGGAGCAAGTAAATGCCTTTTGACACAGCTACTACTACACATCTAAGGCTAATAGGAGGATCGTCTCGTAAACATTCAAGCTGATTTTTCATGATCGGTTAACATGAGCAGCACTTTCTCTAGAGGATATAGACCGATATATTTTAACGCTGTTAGATCAACCAGTAGAATGCAAGGAGTCAGATCCACCTATCCGTCTCTGCGATGGTGCAGTAGTAACGTTTTTACGTACTGAATTTAAAGATGTGTTAATCTGAATTCGAAGTTAAACGGTTTTCGGCCTTGGAACAGGAACACATTCGTTTCCTATTGAAAGCCAGGCTTTTAAAGCTTAGCAGCAGTAGCGGACGGAAAACTCAAAACATTTAGTATCTGTCCAGGTTACGTGATAATCCCCTCTCCTTAAAAACAAGCCAATCTGGTTAAATTGTATATCGTAGAAATTATATTTGTCCATTAACCGGCCACTACCCGCAGCTACGGACGAGCTCCTTGTCGGGTTTTTATATATCTACAGATGTGCGGGCCACCCGCATTGCAGCATTAGACGGCAGAGGGTCAAACTTTGGACTTTTAGCATCTGCACGTAATGGCTACGGTAGCGGCCAGAAGAAAACAGTACCTTTTGAGAGTCGAGCGCTCCAGAGAAATGGTCAGAAAGGAAGGCTATTCGTTTTACTTCCATCGGGTCCTTAGTTTGGTGCTCTACCTCAAATTTTGCGTCTCGACAAAGGTGCAAAAAAACTCAACGCTCGTTTAACCTTTTTAGGCGCTTGGAGGGCTAGTGGCATTTTAGCCACCTCCTGAATTTTTGCGTTACCTAAGCTCGGCCTTCATTTTGCCTTGCGCAAGCACATGTCTTCGCTCTCCTCCGGTGTCTGCATATTCAGTTGGTACGGTATTATGCGTCTGTTGTAGCTTGCTCGACGCCTCAGATCATTTGCCGCCTTAACCCTGTCTACTAAGTTGTGAAGATGGCAAGGAAACAAGGAGCTTCGGAGCAAGTTGTGAGGGTAGTGAGGGAATAGGGGGCTTCAGAGCAGGTTGTGAGGATGGTGAGGGAGCAAGGGGCTTCGGGGCAAGCTGTAATGATCGTTTGCATATTTCGTGTGTTTTTGCCATTGTGCTAGATAGTAGATAAGGCTTTTAAGGGTACCATCTATTGTAGCTACTTCTGTCAAGATTTGTATAGATGTTTGCTGCACAGTAAGCCCTAGCTGAAAATGTCGCACATGCAAAAGAGTCATTCTTTTAGGGGCAGTGACAGTTCTAGCTATTATAGTGACAGACGCAGGTAACTTCGTTTTGCTCAGACTCAATCTTTTTTCTAAGGAATATGCGAAAAAGGCTTTTTCCATAGCTGAATAATATATACGTATATTCATCATTCCATATCAAATTAGAATGTCATTGCCTTGATGCTGCCCGCTAAACTATTTCAATCGGAAGTTGGGTGACGAATAGGCAAGGTGGGTTCGTGCCCGTGATAGGTTAGTGGGCGACATATCTGCCTGCCAGCCTTACGGGCACGTTGTTATGTAAGTTCGAATTCGGGCATAGACAGAATTCCTTTCGTGATGGGAGACAGCCAGCCATGTGGATGATGGAATGCCGGACGGCGATAAGTCGAAACGTAGAGGAAGCTTGGGTGAAATCATGGGTGTTTTAAAAGAGGTGTTTTAAATGGCTAGTTTATGTAGTATTATTATTGTTTGTTGCTTGACACGACATAAAACTGAAAAGTGACTCAGTTTATTGAAGTATTAAGTAGCCTAAGTAGTAGAAAAACAAGTACTAACGTAGTAATAAGGATAAAAATGGTATAAATCTATGGGATTGGAGAAACACTAGCTAAAATTCGACATTAATTACCGTGATAACCTACCGTGATTACATACCTGAAACCTGGAACTTTAAACTGACAAAGAACCTTTATAGAAGATCAGTTTGAAAGTTTTATTTGGCCTAGTTTTAAGTCCATTTTAGTGTTCACACAGTGCTTCTAAGGCTAGATCTCTGCTGATAATCTAAAATCTAGATACGCGTCGTTATTGGAGATAGATCTGCACGATGGATGTGGTACACGTCATGTCTCATAATCGCAGGCATTACATGCTTACCACATGGCCTGTATTACGTTTTTACATCACCGGTTCCTTGCTTTCTAGGTCCGTCTCACACTTGACACAGAGCTAATGGAAATGTGAATTCTACAGTTTGTTATAAACTGTAGAATTAATACATAGAATAAATACATGCAGTAGCTCAAAGTAACATTGTGATACCTTGCAAGCTTCACTTTTTATTTAGTCTACTCTGATTATTTTTTGGTTTTAGCGTTATTTAAAAGTGCTTCTTGCATTGTAATTCGTTGTTTTGAAAGTCGGGTGCGACAGGATATCGTAATATTATCGGAACCTGCGTCATCGTGTTTCTTTGAACTTTTTCTATAGTTCTTCAGGTTTGTTACAGTGTTTCCGTATGCTAAATCGAGTATCGCTGTCTGGAGTAATACGCTATCGCCTTCCAATAGATTTCAGATATATCAAACCTATTATACGTCCGCAAGGCCTGGGCATATGAAAGCCATGGCCAACTTTTGGACTTAGAGTTCCTGTTCTTCGAATGGGTACTTGTAGTTTTGACCCATCTATATACTTAAAATGAGCTATGTTAAACATAGATACCAGATAGTGATTTTATACTGACTTATGTACATTTTATGTAGAAAAAGATAACGACAATGCGTCTGTGTTCTGTGGCTTTCAAATATCTACTAGCAAAAAAATGCCCCTAGACAGTTTGACGGATTAGCAGTAGATAATACCAGACGTGTTGTGCTTGCCAATCGTGACGAACGTCACAAAAATTTAAACGGCATTTTTTCAAGTTTTTCAGCTATGGCAGCTCATTTCGTATTGGCCATAAGTAACGTAATGTGTCAGTTAGATGTTGTTGATGTTTTCTCTGTTAAAAATTTCTTTTAATATAATTAACTTCCACAACTCACGAGGACTAACTTCAGCACTTTCGTGCTTCGAAACTGTTTCATGCCGAAATTATATTGACAGCATATTTCGTACAAACACGGCCACTCGGTTGTTTCTGAAGAGCAGCTATCGTCAGTTGATTCAGTTGTCCTTAAAGAAAAAGTACTAGGTCTTATTTTTTGACAGTGTTGGGTTCGTATCTCCTTCCAAACGAGTTAGCACCAAACGTGGACATATTATTTTGCCACCGCCCTCTTAGCTAGTCGTGTTTTTTGGAACAACTTGATATTCCTTGCACGAGCTTACATTTTGAAAATAGCCAATTTTACTAATCAATAAACAATTCCCATCTTCGATTTACTTCGAAGTACTCTAGTTCTCAATACCAACAGGCCGGGGGGCTGCAGGATGTCGTCACGTACCGCAAAAAAACATCAGAGCAATAGAATAAAGACAAGTAAAACCGAGTGCACAGTAGCCATTGTATCGCTGGGAGGAAATGTTGGCCTTCAAGGGCGAAGGGAGTTTCGATGCGTTAGCTAGCTTGCTAGCTACTGCAAGAAGAAGCACTGAAAAACTTCAGAAAGGCCAACGCTACCCCATCGGGTGCAATCTCTTACCCTTCATACTCACTTTCCTGTAAGTGCTCCTTCTCAGCGTCATTCACGTTCAAAGGGGCATCGTAATGGCTACACTTTGTGGTCCATAGGCGTCAAATCGGTTGTGCCAACCACCTACTGCGATTACTACTACTACGTCACAGATACGGACTACCAATTCCACAAGTGCATCAAATGAACCGTTCTTCTCACAGAGAGATAAAGAAAAAGACGCGTAGGGCTAAGCCAGCGATGGAAATGGCGCAGCCGATAACCCCGAGGACATCCTCTGTGCTTTCAGTGCACATTTCTGTGGCTAGCGTCGATGTTGCCTTCGTCCACCACACTAACCCTGCGAGTAAAAGGATCCCTCGAGGACTACACGAATTTCGTGCGTGGAAGCTCACCGCTGTAACCATCGCTTGGTCTCGCAAAGAAGTACTGCAAAAAATACGAAGATGAAAAAAGCTCTCAAGGAAAAATGGTACAGGAGTGAATTGCCAAGGGCCACAAAAACTACTGCCGCGCTAATTTGCCCAATCATTTACTAGGCTTTATATTTTGTTGGATAAGCGTTAAATGCAGCCAAAATAGATACATCTGCTCTGCTTCATGTACGAAGTTCTATTGGTTCTTGAACGCTAGCAAGGGCCGAGGATAAACGCGGGAACGATTCAATTATTTGTCAAAAGGAGGCAAATGGTTCAAAAAAATTCAAGTATATTGGAAAATAGATCAGTCTGTTATGAGACTTTGCAACTAGACGCTGCAAGTTCTAATGTTGCTACCATAGCTTTTACTACGTTGAATCTATTAAACTTGTTTTTTGCTTCCTGCTGGACCGATGCAAAATAAGTTATAACAATCCGTTCCAACTAACATCGATTACTTTATTAATAGAAGATCGACTGCAACTAAAGTGGTCCTATGAATTTTGCTTGTCGCTATTGACATATTGGTTCTATGCGATAAGTTCAGTTGCAGGCCATGAATAAGAACTTTAATTAATTTACGTACACAAGATATATTTAACTAAATACAATAAAGATACGACTGAGTAATAGTAATTATTCGATCTTATTCAGGATGTATGCATAAACTAATAAACCTATGATCTAACCATAAGAGACATGACATGGATTTGGAACATTTATACTTGAAATCAATAGTGCTATAGGGTAGGATTTGCTAACGGGGACCTGCGACCGACCTTCCTCGGATCGATCATCTGTTTGACACCTCACGAGAGAACGATTATCAAGCTGACAAATTTCTAACCATAATAATCAGTGGAACATGACGGATCGAGATCAACTGATGAACATTCTTGATTACCATTCTATGACAGATTAAGCTCGATTCCAAATTGCAATAACAATACGCCATGTTCTTACTAAACGTATTTGTTTAACGAAGCCCTGACGACACATGTTTGATTCTAACGCACTTGTCAATATAAAAAAAAAAAAACTGTATGATCGTTGATTTAGCGAAAGTTGTACTATCTCTAATATTTGTCACACATGATTCAAAATGAAAGACATCTATTACTTTGTCCGAACGGCAAGTTGTGTCGTCTGTAAGTAAATACTTCCTATATTATAAAATCGGCTGTTAAAAATGTTGTATATTTTATTGAATCTATATTTTTATTGAACAATTATCCAAACGTGAACGGAAATTCAAAATGCACCATTTCAATACAGACAGCTGGACTACATATGATACCGAAAAACTTTAGAAAAAAAGGCCGATGTGATTTATTCGAAGTACTAAAGATACTTTTATCTTAAAAGTAATTCTTGTGACTACTAGTAACGCCACATTATCATTCTTCTTGACGATGTATAAAAGATCTACGACAGCAACTTTCATATACAATGACATAAACATCTTTACACATTTTTCCCGTGCTCGTTTTGAGCGGTTCATTTGGTCTCCATGTTTATCATCTTCTGACTCAAAATGCTGTGCCGTATCTATCACGTGAATTCAGTGAACGATATCAAATCTCCTGATAACAGTCGCTCAGCAGTCCCGTAATGCGATAAGAGAATACAACGTCATGGACGCGCCTACATAATACGCGATTTGGGAACATTTCATCTGCTGTGGTTCCCTTAGAGTACGTATTCAAATATATTTTCTTATTAGGCTATTGAAGTCCTGGGCCAAAATCAATCTGCAGTGATTATTTTTCATTTTTGCCCCTTACTCAGTTGTTGATCGTCTAATAATACCTCCATAGTGTCATCACATTAAACGTATGCTATTATACATTGTTTCTGCCTGAGGAGAGTTACGGTAGTTGTGGCGCTAGCATGCATATTCTATGCGGTTTTGCATTTAAAAATATATAAATGTTTTAATTATATGAGCATTTGTGAGCTGTCATGCCGCTCGAGGCCAGCCACGTAGGCCCGAACATATACGTGATAGACCTATTTGCTAATGGATGCACTCAATAAATCCTACTCGAATCTTGAAAAAGCATTGCGCAGTACTTTTCTGCTCCACAACTTCGCAATGCTGCCCAATTAGACAATTTCATAACTGCATGCAGAGCAGTTCACCATCTGAATGGTGCTTCAGAATATGTGACGAATATAAGACGAAACCTCGCCGTAACGGATGCTTCGAGAGCTCTTAGATGATTCAGCCGAGCTCTGAAGTCTCGAGGTCAGCAATCTTCCACTTGGACTTGGCACATAATATCTCGTCTTTTAGAAAAATCAATAATGAACGCTGCCCCGCAGGATGTACTTTGTTTGGGTATCATTGGTTCGTTCCAGTTTCCATGAAACGACCCTTAACGAGGAAATCCGCAACAGCAAATTTGTAACTCGATGGGCTGCCCCATAGGAATATACGAGAAATTAAATCATGCTAATCAGCTACTTCCAAATATGGGATGATCTGCGGCGGCAGTAGCAAGAAATTTGCGTTTGACCTCGAATGATTATCATGTTTAGACAAGCAGGGAACTATCTTAAATCTACATTACTGCGGTTCGCGTTGAGAATATGTGGATGTAGAGATTGACAGATACGAAAAAAGTCTCTGGGTCCGAAACCCAGGAAAAGAAAAAGAGAATTAATTAGAATTATACATCATCAACTAGCTGAGCTTTAAATTTATGCACGTTCTTGTATTATAATATATATAAATGCACTTCTTCGGTTTTCTGAATATTCAGTTCGACAGTTGAATCTACGCTCAATGCAATGTGCCTAATTGGAAGGACTATTCAATGGTGGCCATAACCGCTATGACCTATTTCACTGTTAGAGAGATTAGCTGATTTCTTGACAGTAACTTAACAGCTTTATTCAGTCAGGGATGGGCTGCGTGTATCAATATGGCTAGCAACAGCTGCGTATTTCACGCAGAAATTAAAGGGAACAATTAGAAGAGAAAAGCATTGAAGGCATCGTGTTGTTTTCTTCCAGTTGAAACCAACAATGTATAATGTCATAGATAAATTCTTAATATCACGTAAAGTAAATAACATCACGGTTGGGCTTCATTGGTCCGCTTAGCCGACCGATTGCAGACGCATATTTTGGCGGGAGCAGCCGCTCCACAGGAGGATACATCTTACAATCTGAATTGAATCAATGATATTTATTTTCGTGTATAATTCGTCGAAATGCTGATGCTTTCATGTTTAAATAGTAAAATATTTTGAATTGTAACTGCTCTTTAATACTACATTCCTATTTATTCATCCATTTATTTATACAAATTCAATTGTATAGATGAGCGCCGAGTTCATCTAAAAAACACACACGGACGAGTGCAACTGTCGATACCCGTGACCTTATTTCACGAAACGATGTTACATGGAAAATTCGTTTTTAGGACAAACTTGCCTTTCATAATTTGGAACAGTTTAGGTACATTTTCAAGGGCCTGATCAGAAAGGAGCTCGTGGATTAGATTTGCGTGTGATCTGAGCCTGCAATACGCATGCTCTAGATCGACCCGCAAGCGTACTTGTAACAGCTGTTAGTTACATAGCCTTATATTGCACTCTTTTCACGGATTTTATCCATTGACGCGCCATTTTATCGTTGTTACCTTCTCGTTCGGCCTGCATTCGAAAGACGTTACAGTTTTCATTAGCTTTGTTAGTTAGAGACATTGACGATTCAATTAGTTAAAGAACGGTATTTTTTATTGCTGAACGAGCTAAATCGTCAATGCTATGCAAAAACACTGATAGGTTCTAAAAAAAGTACGCAGTGACAGAGATCCGCGGGTCGCGTATCGAGCTACAAAAACGTCCCTTGGCCGGTCCAGTACTTTTAAGGTTCAGTCGTTTTTCTACCTTTTTGATAAAGCACTGGATTAATTTTGGTCACATCCTTCTCGTGCTCGTGCTCGTGCACGGGGTAACGATGTACTTCCATTTCTTGCACGAAAATCAAGAAATCTCGTACACTTGCTCCTCGATGAATAGCAGGGCTAGCGGGCTAACCTGTTTTGGATAATATGTGAAACTGTTAACTGATCCTAACACAAAATAACTGTTACAGTTTAAGATCCACTTTCATTTAGTTCTTTGGAAGGCTTCTCTTTCTTGATGGTAATAAATTTTGCGACAGAAGATTACAGAGGCGTACCTTCCTTCTAACTGACTAGACGTATATTTGCAAAAAGATAAAACACACCATGTCTATCTGTAACGCCCAGTGAATACACAGGCATAATTTAGCTTCTATTTTTCTGTATAGCGGTACTATCATATGCTACTAGCCATATGCAAAGCTGAAGTCTACAGTTCCCCTCTGAAATTGAAGTGACTTTCATATTTAAGGGTAGTGCCATTTTTTTCATCCGTCCGTTTTCCGCCCATCCGTTCTTGAGGAGTAACATATGCGCCAAGGATGATTGTTAAAGGAGCACGACGCCATCTACTATTATCAGCTTTTTGCTTGTCGGAAAGTTAGTTGATAACTTCCGACAAACTATACTCTTTGAATTGTTTAATACACTAACCACGAATGATCGTTTCGTCCTGTGAGAATATGCATGAAATTTAACTATGACATAGGTAAGTAGTGAATTTTTGAGAGAATGCCGGCACTCTGAGGCCGTATGCGCCCGTATGTTTCTCGAATCAGTGTTAAGGCACTGTGAAACGGCCATAAGCGGAACTATTTACTTTTGCGAAATTTTCCTGTGTACTTTTTACGTACTTACTTTTAAAGCATATAGTCTTTTCGAGTGATTCTAATATAGGAACTCTAAAACGATTACGCTTACCTTATCCACTAGCGGATTAACTGAATCCTCACTGGTGGATATGTCAAGAGGGAAAAAAAGAAAACCTATACATAAAATAACATGTAGTTGATTTGAGTTAATAGTAGGATACCGTATAGATCTATCAGTACGTGACGCGATCTCTATTATTTGATCGACTAATCCATGCTAGAGAAGGCGACAAAGCTGGTGACTGAATGCTTTAATCGACACCCGAAAAGTAGATATTTCGGTTGTCGTAGAAAGGATCGTATTGGGTCACGGCAACTGTCATACGGAAGTAATTTACTAAAGCCTGAAGCACTCCTTTGTTACATATTATGGTTTTATATATATTTTTTTCGTACTAGCAGAATAGATCGATATCAATGTACCTATTGGGCCAATGGCAACGAGCCTTGCGGAACGGAGAACTTGGAAGCGCAGTATAGGAGTTCGGCTTAAAATTAATTACGCCATGCGCTTCTGAATACGAAAGGCACTTTTGAATTGCGTTTACTCACCTATAAGATTGATAATCTCAGCTAGCAATCGCTCGGAAGATCTCAAGGTTCTAATGATGTTAAAATTCCAAAGATCTTCTGCGCCGTACCGCACATTGTGACCCGTGCTTTTCCAAGCAGTGTGCGATGGACAACTTGTTCGGTGATATGTAATAATCTTCTTGGGCAATTCTGATCGATTTACCTCACACTTCTCCGCCCTTTTAGGTAACGTAATAATACATTAAGACGAGAAATAGCGCAACCTTGTTCCGATGCAGGTATGAAAATAAATTTGCATAGAAAATGGTACACGAGTACTTTACATCACACCGCTACATAGAATGGCCCATGGCGCCACACGGAAAATTGCAGCCAATTTTTTTAAAATAACGTTTAGTAGTTGTTCGTATTTATTCGATTTGAATCTACGTTTCAGTGTTGATATCAGCCGAAAACTATGGACAAATATCATCATTACACTTCCGGACATTTGCTTTGTTTAACCCGGTAACCTACTATAGGATAGAAATGCTTTAAGAGCCTAAAGTTCGCCGATCTCTCTCTTATTTTGACTTTTCTTACGTTTCTGAGGCGATTCTCAAAAAAACGTTCCCGTTCCTAGCAGTTGCGTTACTATCGATCTGTGTTGATGCCTTTCATTGTGCCATTGCGCTTTCTTTCGTTGTGTCCTGCACGTCCATCTCGAAGAATGGTCGGCGCATATTTTTCGCATTCTTTAAACGCTTTAGCAAGACGCGGAATGTCCTGAAATTAAAAACAGTGATAGTATTTTAAAAATGGAAGAGAGAACTCTGTAATGAAGTGATTCTCAAGGGATGACAAACAAAAATCGGAAAAAAAAGCACTAGTAGAGGGCTATCTGTGCGGTAAAGTAACAGAATCTAGAATAGCGTTGTTGTAGTTCTAAAGGTAGCTAATTTAAGATAATGTCAGACGATTAATGGCAACGTTCCTCAATCAACATTTCAACACCGTAAGCCACATACGACGACAAGATGTTCTATTCTGGTTCGATTATGTCATTCGATAGCTAATTTACCGTAACCACTCTCTGTCAACAGCTATGGGCTTGATGTTTTCTTCCTTGCTAGCAGACGGTAAAGGTATTTTGGAAAATTGGAACTGTCGTTGAGCAATATATATTTTGAAAAATATATCCTTTTTCGAGAAGTTCGCTGTTGACTTTGATGCTGCTATTTAATGTCAAAGATACATCAGGCAATTTTGTTACTTTTCCTATAGTAGACAGTTGTTCGTGCAGACAGCGACTTGCGCACGCGCATAGTTCACGACGATAAACAATAAAATTTATGTACATATGCTCATAGGGATACCTCTATGGATGTTGTATGGAACGTAAATACTTGCGCAGTAGATGAACTATGACTGTGGCGCCATTGTATTGAAAGGCGGCTGATTCAAATAAAAGACTAGACCAAAATTGAAGTGGGAAATGCTGTGATAGACATTAATTTTTAACGAAGCGGTTATCAAGATATGATCTATGCGTTAATACCTAATTGAATGAAATACATTCTTGTTCTCATAATGATACGACTGTGAACCCGCTGGGCTTTACGATGTGGCCCTAAAATGAAGGTGCTTCGAAGCTCGAAACAATGTAGCGGTGCATTACTGTGGAAGGCCGGATTCAAAATAGGATGTTGCGTATAATAAAACAATGTTAACTTGGACAGTCCATGATTAATTCATTCGCTCATAAGCTTAATATGTTAAGAAACACATGCTAACGTGTTGGTCTCTTTCTCAACAGGTTTTTAACGAGCATGAAAAAGACAGAAATTCAGCCACATTCAAGTAGGCACATGTACACTGACAACTAATGAGGAAGAATGGAAATGGCACCTTATCATGTGGACAGCCCTCGTTTTAAGGGCTAGCATGTACTAATTATGCACATTACTGAAAGAAGTTCAACCGCTTCCCGGTTCGTGGGCGGCAACATATTCGATACCGTAGTTCCTTTTCCTAGATCGCCGCCAGGTCAACTTTAATCATGATGTTTTTCATTTGTTGTTTCGATAGAAAGCTAACAGCCACATGTCGATTGTTTTGGATCGATTGTCTGTAGATTGCTATACACGATTCCAAAGGTAACAAATATGCGTTCAACGTCGTTTAGTCAACTTTTTTGTACGGGTAAATCTCCAAAAGATGCATCTATCACTGGGCTAATTCGGGCTGTTTTCCCACACGTCCTCGCAGTACCCACAACTCCCCATTATCGGCACTTACCCTGTTTCGATTATCTCTCATCCAAGTTGCCGTTGCCAGAATGAAATGAGTAGTGTCGATACTGGCACGGGAGTGAGCAGCATCAGCAGCACAGATCTTATAGGACCTACAAGAAAGAACAACGGGCTTAAGGGTAAGCTAGAAGGTACGAGCGTTAGCACCTTTGGTAAGCAGTAGAATATCTACAGACACGCTAGGGCTTCCCCACCGCTGCCGACACAACGTTCCCAATACGCCGCAGCGATCCGGGCCATGAATTATCTGTTGAAATATTCGGCCTGCATGGAGGCGATCTGATACTTGGTGATATGAAGGTTTTGACCATCTGCTGCGGCTGATACAGGGTCACCGGTCGATTACTCTCTGATAACTATTAAGTTCGTATCATATCTATGCATCATGTAACTTCAAAAGATCGAACGTGCTCTTCTGTCGTCAACTATTGACTAAATAATTCGTCTCGTAGATTATTTGCATGATTATATGATTTGGCCTTGTTTCACCTAATATTGATGCCCATGCTATTCTATACTGTCATATCCTTAAATTAATGATATCATTCTAAATAGGCAGATAGAGTATGTAGATTAGAATCCCTAACACTAACATCATTTGTGTATTCATCATTGTGTATGTAGAAAACTGGCTAAGCGGTATTCTAGACAAAGATGGAAAATACGCAACTCCATGGAAATTTATTATAAATGAAACGCCATTAGAATCGCCGAGGTATCTTTGCATAAAGAATTCATCAACACAATTGTTAACGTTCATATGGTGGTGATAGCCCATAACGGTCACTATTTCTTAAAATAATATTTTTTCCAAAATAGTAATCAAAGGATAAATTTTTATAAAATTCTTCTTCTTTTCGTTACTAAGTAACGTAGCCTATAATTGCCTTTGCGTTCATACGAGCCCTACGCAACACCCCAGTAGACCTCTTCCAACCTAGCTACTTTGCATTATTTCGAATCGCAGCTGTGCTTAGAAACGAATCAATTGTTTACGTATTCTTATTAAACGATACAGCGGTCGCTTATTGTCGCACGCTGAGCACCTTAGGCATATCAAATCGCTGGCTGATTTTTGTCACAGCGACGAATGGTGCGGACGATGACAAATGGGTTACTGTGAGGCTGAAAATAACCTAGAAAACGTGCAATCGAATATTCACAACTATTACGGATAGACCTAGCTTTGCGTAAGGCTTGCTAGGCAACCATTTTTTTAGACCATTTAAGATCACCATATAGATCCACTTGTCATTATCGGAACAATATAAGACAGCAAACTCGATTGGGAGTAAAATATTTGATATTATTATTTTACATAGTGTATATACAAATTATCATTTTTAGTGACTAATTTTCGTCTTGACAATCTTGGATGTGGCTGCCGATTTTTTTCGTCTATATATACGTTTAGCAATATAAATCTCAATTGTAACGTGTCAACCGACATTCTGCCCCACGTATAACGTTGAACCTATTTTAGAACTTAAAGCGATAATAAGCAGGGCCCTACAACTGTAGATATAATACATTTTTCTGTTATAGACAATTCTTAATTAAAATAGATGCCCTAATAATAACAATGAGTCTTCAGTAATATCATGACATATTCTTTTCGCTACTATGCTATGAATATCTATTAAATGTAAAGAGATATTTATCTGAAATATAACGAAATAGTCTGTGCTCATTAAAGAAGTAGTCCTATTAAAGAATAGAGAGTACTGCTTCAAGTCGAACCTAGCAGTAACGACTACATCGAACTTATTAGTTTAACATACTTTTCAACGACCTGACACCCTCAACTGTCCAACAAAGTAAACTGTCTAATACCATGTAATAGATCCTTGCTCAAATTCGTTGCGCTATTTTCCCTTTAAGACTTCTACTGAACCCAGCTGGATTGACAGGAGCAGCCGAACTAAAATGCACCTATGCTTTTCATTACGCTGAAGGATTACTGTGAGACGACATATCCCGCTTCAATCTTGCCGGAGAATTCGACATTGGAGATGTCATCGACGATGACGGGGAAGAGGCGGGCGAACGCAGGAACAGAAGCAAGAAAATAAACCGGGTAAACAAGAGCTATTTCCCCTTTTTGTCCCTTTTCTCTTCACTTGCAGTTACTACTACAGCAACAGCAGTGGTCATGGCACTAAGCAGCATAACAGGAAGTACCTCTTGTCTTAGTGTATGCAAGACCGAAATGATAGCGACTGCTGCAAAAAAAGAAAACAGGAGCAACGGCACAGTTCCCCAGCTCGCAACGGTAACTATTCGAAGGCCTTTAGAATTCCTTCCTTAACCGCTTGCGCCATTGCCGGCAAAGAGAGAGAGAGAGAGGAATCAGTTGAAAAAATTCACTGCCAAGGAAATTCTTTTAGTTTGGCTCTTCGACAGACCGTTTCTCTTCGTCGGATCAGCGAGCCATGAGCGGATGGCGAACTAAACGAAATAACGCTGGAGAAGATGTAGGTCTTCTCAACGCTCTGGCCTCCGGAGTTTGCCGCTATCTCCCGCCAGCTTACAACCCCTTGTTGTCTCAGACCAGCAGTGTCCTGCTTCTTCAGTGTTATCTTTGACAACGCTCACGCACACTGGGACGGAACACGACACTATAATGACGTTTCCCTTCATTCTGAGCAGAAGTTGTGCGCGGTGTGGCCAAAGCTGTAGCAACAGAAGTATAAGACAATTGAGCAGGGAATGCCATGAAAATAATAGAGCATTCACTGACTTCTGTTAATAAGCACACGCTAGATCCAAAAATCTCACGGGAGCACCCAGTATAAGGATGGTGGAGCGCATGACACTGATAACTAGATACCTTAGATAGACAATGACCTATTTTTTAGTCGAAATGCGAAAACATATTATGCTTTTATGTGTTTAGACGACAAATCTACAGCAAATTTCGGTTCTATTTAAAGTTGTTTGTGTTCAGTATCATACAAATCGCACACTGGTTGGGCTAACAATTTCTATACACTTAAGGTCTACATATGCCCCATGTCTATCCAACATTACAAAATAACAAATTTGTCTTCTTCCCCATTTAATATGTAATTCACCCGTTACATATTGCCAATGTTGATTTGTTGTGAAAATTCGAATATATTTGTTATCTTTTTTCAGTTTTCATCCCAGACCTTGATATCCCCAACTTCATCTTTCAGACAGATTACTCTGAACAGGGATCCTGACTTACTGAACATGATGTTTTTGTACGTCAAGAAAATTTTTATATGTAAGAATACTTTAACTCACCAAAAAAGAGTTTACTGCTAAGGCTTTTCATACATGCCCGTGCGTGCTTACAGGTCGGATGGTCGTGCGTTTCGGATGTTCGTGTGCATGCAGTTATTGAGATAATCCAAAACATAATGTTATTAGTGTTTTGCTCGAAAGACAATTTTTTATTATCATGACAGAAATGCAATCAAAGTTTAATGGCGGTCATGTACGATTGTCTAATTGGGTCAATGTAAGATTAGAGCTGACTTGTTGTACTTCTTGATAAAACAAATCATACGAAGCGTAATGTTAATTAGGAACACACCGTTCTAAAAATGTGCTATTTTGTATACATTGTTGATAAAATGAGCTCAGCGAGGGATTCAGGATATTTGACTAATTAACAGGATAACGTGAATCTGGGGTCGGGTACTTGAAGTGTTAGTGCGTGTCCAGTACAAGTCACGCGGACGGGCACGCTGATCGATGCTCTCTTGTCCCGCAGATTTGCTCATAAGGTTATTATTAGACAAATATGTGAGTTTGGCCTGCTAGAGTATAGTATTTGGATGGTTAACTAAAAGAATTGATACCTAAGGGCCTTTGATCAACGAACTATAACGTTTTCCCTTTTATTGTACACGTACGTATATTACTCGTAAAATTTAAAAGTGAAAATCTTGTTTGTTTAATTTCAGCAAATGGGACCACATTTATTCAGTAAATTTTTCA